CCATGTGGTACCCATGGGTGTCCTGCATCCCCATCCCATGTGGTACCCATGGGTGCCCTGCATCCCCATCCCATGTGGTACCCATGGGTGCCCTGCATCCCCATCCCATGTGGTACCCATGGCTGCCCTGCATCCCCATCCCATGTGGTACCCATGGGTGCCCTGCATCCCCATCCCATGTGGTACCCATGGGTGCCCTGCATCCCCACCCCATGTGGTACCCATGGGTGCCCTGCATCCCCATCCCATGTGGTCCCCATGGGTGTCCTGCATCCCCATCCCGTGTGGTACCCATGGCTGTCCTGCATCCCCATCCCATGTGGTACCCATGGGTGTCCTGCATCCCCACCCCATGTGGTACCCATGGGTGCCCTGCATCCCCACCCCATGTGGTACCCATGGGTGTCCTGCATCCCCATCCCATGTGGTACCCATGGGTGTCCTGCATCCCCATCCCATGTGGTACCCATGGGTGTCCTGCATCCCCATCCCATGTGGTACCCATGGGTGTCCTGCATCCCCATCCCATGTGGTACCCATGGGTGCCCTGCATCCCCATCCCATGTGGTACCCATGGGTGTCCTGCATCCCCATCCCATGTGGTACCCATGGGTGTCCTCACATCCCCATCCCATGTGGTACCCATGGGTGTCCTGCATCCGCATCCCATGTGGTACCCATGGCTGTCCTGCATCCCCGTCCCATGTGGTACCCATGGGTGTCCTCCATCCCTACCCCATCCCGTGGCTCTGTGTGGTCTCAACAGTGTCACACATCCCATTCCCATTCCCATTCCCGCTGTGGTTCCTCCTACAGAGACCAAAGATGACCTGGAGCAGCTGACAGCAGACATCAAGAAAATGGCCAACAGCGTCCGCAACAAACTCAAGAGTGAGTGACCGTGTCCCCATCCTGTCCCCATCCTGTTCCCATCCTGCCCCCATGTCCCCATCACTGTTCCCATGTCCCCATCCTGTCCCCATCCTGTCCCCATCACTGTTCCCATGTCCCCATCCTGTCCCCATCACTGTCCCCATGTCCCCATCCTGTCCCCATCCTGTCCCCATCACTGTTCCCATGTCCCCATCACTGTCCCCATCCTGTCCCCATCCTGTCCCCATCCTGTCCCCATGTCCCCATCCTGTCCCCATCCTGTCCCCATCACGGTTCCCATGTCTCCATCACTGTCCCCATCCTGTCCCCATCACTGTTCCCATGTCCCCATCACTGTTCCCATGTCCCCATCACTGTTCCCATGTCCCCATCCTGTCCCCATCACTGTTCCCATGTCCCCATCACTGTTCCCATGTCCCCATCCTGTCCCCATCCTGTCCCCATCCTGTCCCCATCACTGTTCCCATGTCCCCATCACTGTCCCCATCCTGTCCCCATCACGGTTCCCATGTCCCCATCACTGTCCCCATCCTGTCCCCATCACTGTTCCCATGTCCCCATCACTGTTCCCATGCCCCCATCCTGTCCCCATCACTGTCCCCATCCTGCCCCCATCACTGTTCCCATGTCCCCATCACTGTTCCCATGTCCCCATCCTGTCCCCATCACTGTTCCCATGTCCCCATCACTGGTCCCAGGCCCCCATCCTGTCCCCATCACTGTCCCCATCCTGCCCCCATCACTGTTCCCATGTCCCCATCACTGTTCCCATGCCCCCATCCTGTCCCCATCACTGTCCCCATCCTGTCCCCATCACTGTTCCCATGTCCCCATCACTGTCCCCATCCTGTCCCCATCACTGTTCCCATGTCCCCATCACTGTTCCCATGTCCCCATCACTGTCCCCATCCTGTCCCCATCACTGTCCCCATGTCCCCATCACTGTCCCCATCCTGTCCCCATCACGGTTCCCATGTCCCCATCACTGTCCCCATCCTGTCCCCATCACTGTCCCTATGTCCCTATCCTTTCCCCATTGCTGTCTCCATGTCCCCATCACTGTCCCCATCCTATTCCCATCACTGTCCCCATGTCCCCATCACTGTTCCCATGTCCCCATCGCTGTTCCCCTGTCCCCATCACTGTCCCCATCCTGTTCCCATCACCGTCCCCATGTCCCCATCCTGTCCCCATCGCTGTTCCCATGTCCCTATGGGGAGGCAGGGAATACCCCATGGCCGTGGGGCAGGTCCCTGAGGGGCCGGGTCCTGCCCCCCAGGTATGGAGCGCAGCATCGAGCAGGATGAGGTGCGCTCCTCCGCTGACCTGCGCATCCGCAAGTCCCAGGTGAGCCCCGGTCCCCACGCGGCACCACGGAGCCTGTTCCCAATGGGATGGGCATGGGGATGCGGCACCTCCCGGGGTCCCATCCCTGTCCCCTATCCCACACGCACCACACCTGGCTGCTCCCAAGCTTCCTGTCCCCCATGTCCCCAGCACTGCCCGGCCATCCCAGCCCCATGCTCCTGTCCCCATGGAATACAGCTCATGGGATGCGCCATGCACTCGGGTCCTGTTCCCTTAGGACCAGGGAGGTGCCATGTCCAGGATGTCCCCATCCCCACGTCCCTGTCCCCATTCCCATGTTCTTGTCCCCATTCCCATCACTGGGTCCTGTCCCGCAGGGACCAGGGAGGTGCTGTGCTCAGGGTGTCCCCATATCCCATGTCCCCGTCCCCAGCACTCAGTGCTGTCCCTATGGACACACCATACCCAGGGTGTCCCCATATCCCATGTGCCCATCCCCAGCGCTCAGTGCTGTCCCTATGGACACACCATACCCAGGGTGTCCCCATATCCCATGTCCCCAGCACTCAGTGCTGTCCCTATGGACACACCATACCCAGGGTGTCCCCATATCCCATGTCCCCAGCACTCAGTGCTGTCCCTATGGACACACCATACCCAGGGTGTCCCCATATCCCATGTCCCCAGCACTCAGTGCTGTCCCTATGGACACACCATACCCAGCCATCCCCATCCCCAGCACTCGGTGCTGTCCCTATGGACGCACCATACCCAGGGTGTCCCCATATCCCATGTCCCCATCCCCAGCACTCGGTGCTGTCCCTATGGACGCACCATACCCAGGGTGTCCCCATATCCCATGTCCCCGTCCCCAGCACTCAGTGCTGTCCCTATGGATGCACCATACCCAGGGTGTCCCCATATCCCATGTCCCCAGCACTCGGTGCTGTCCCTATGGACACACCATACCCAGGGTGTCCCCATATCCCATGTGCCCATCCCCAGCACTCAGTGCTGTCCCTATGGACACACCATACCCAGGGTGTCCCCATATCCCATGTCCCCAGCACTCAGTGCTGTCCCTATGGATGCACCATACCCAGGGTGTCCCCATATCCCATATCCCATGTCCCCAGCACTCGGTGCTGTCCCGCAAGTTCGTGGATGTGATGACCAAGTACAATGAGGCGCAGGTGGACTTCCGGGAGCGCAGCAAGGGCCGGATCCAGCGGCAGCTCGAGATCAGTGCGTGCCCCCCCATAGACCCTATAGATCCCATAGACCCCATAGATCCCATAGACCCTATAGATCCCATAGACCCCATAGATGCTATAGATCACATAGACCCTATAGACCCCACAGATCCCACAGACCCTATAGATCACATAGACCCTATAGATCACATAGACCCTATAGACCCCACAGATCCCACAGACCCTATAGATCACATAGACCCTATAGACCCCACAGACCCTATAGATCACATAGACTCTATAGACCCCATAGATCCCATAGACCCTATAGATCACATAGACTCTATAGACCTCATAGACCCTATAGACCCTATAGATCCTATAGACCTCATAGACCCTATAGACCCTATAGATCCTATAGACCTCATAGACCCTATAGACCCCATAGATCCTATAGACCCCATAGACCCTATGGATCCCATAGACCCTATAGACCTCATAGACCCTATAGATCCTGTAGGCCCTATAGACCCCATAGATGCTATATACCTCATAGACCCTATAGATCCCATAGACCCTATAGATCACATAGGCCCTATAGACCCCATAGACCTTATAGATCCTTTAGGCCCTATAGACCCCATAGATCCCGTAAACCCTTTAGATCACATAGGCCCTGTAGATCCCATAGGATCTATAGATGCCATAGATCCTATAGATCCCATAGGCCCTATAGATCACACAGGCCCTGTAGATCCCATATGCCCTATAGATCCTGTAGATCCCATAGACCCTGTAGATCCCATAGACCCTATGGATCCTATAGACCCTATAGATCCCATAGGCCCGAGAGATCCCATTGACCCCATAGACCCTATAGACCCCATAAACCCTATAGACCCTATGGATCCCATAGACCCTGTAGATCCCATAGGCCCTATAGATCCCATAGACCCCATAGACCTTATAGATCCCATAGACCCCATAGATCCCATAGGCCCTGTAGATCCCATAGACCTCATGGATCCCATAGACTGCATAGGCCTTATAGATGCCATAGACCCTATAGATCCCATAGGCCCTATAGATCCCATAGGCCCCATAGATCCCATAGACTGCATAGGCCTTACGAATCCCAGAGACCCCATAGACCCTATAGATCCCATAGACCCTGTAGATCCCATAGGCCCTATAGATCCCATAGACCCCATAGACCTTATAGATCCCATAGACCCCATAGACCCTATAGATGCCATAGACCCTATAGATCCCATAGGCCCTATAGATCCCATAGGCCCTGTAGATCCCATAGGCCCCATAGATCCCATAGACTGCATAGGCCTTACGGATCCCAGAGACCCCATAGACCCTATAGATCCCATAGACCCTGTAGATCCCATAGGCCCTATAGATCCCATAGACCCCATAGACCTTATAGATCCCATAGACCCTATAGATGCCATAGACCCTATAGATCCCATAGGCCCCATAGATCCCATAGGCCCTGTAGATCCCATAGACCTCATGGATCCCATAGACTGCATAGGCCTTATAGATCCCATAGACCCCATAGATCCCATAGGCCCCATAGATCCCATAGGCCCTATAGATCCCATAGGCCCTGTAGATCCCATAGACCTCATGGATCCCATAGACCCTATCGATGCCACAGACCCTATAGACCCCATAGATCCCATAGGCCCTGTAGATCCCATAGACCTCATGGATCCCATAGACTGCATAGGCCTTATAGATCCCATAGACCCTATAGATCCCATAGGCCCCATAGATCCCATAGGCCCTATAGATCCCATAGGCCCTGTAGATCCCATAGACCTCATGGATCCCATAGACTGCATAGGCCTTATAGATCCCATAGACCCTATAGATCCCATAGATCCCATAGGCCCCATAGACCCCATAGGCCCTATAGATCCCATAGGCCCTGTAGATCCCATAGACCTCATGGATCCCATAGACTGCATAGGCCTTATAGATCCCATAGACCCTATAGATGCCACAGACCCTATAGATCCCATAGGCCCCATAGACCCTATAGATCCCATAGACCCCATAGATCCCATAGGCCCCATAGACCCCATAGGCCCTATAGATCCCATAGGCCCTATAGATCCCATAGACCCCACACACCCCCGGGACAGGGGATGGAACCACCACCCCTACAGACCCCGCCCCTTTTGCTAAGTGGGCGGAGCCAACCCCTACCCCCCCCCCCCGTTTTTCCCCTGCACTGAAGCGGGCGGAGCCAACCCCTCAGGCCACGCCCCCCCCCCCCCTCCACCAAGGGGGCGGAGCTTGTCCCTGCAGCTCCGCCCATTGAGAAAGTGGGCGGGGCCAAGCCCGCGGTGGGCGGGGCTTACACACGCCACACCCCCTCGTCCCGCAGCCGGTAAGAACACGACGGACGAGGAGCTGGAGGAGATGCTGGAGAGCGGGAACCCGTCCATCTTCACTGCGGGGGTGAGCCCCACATCGGTGGGGCGGGTACCGGGGGGTGCAGCCCCACATCCCTGACCCACAGCTCCCACCCCACACCCCCCAGATCATGGAGTCGCAGATGTCGAAGCAGGCGCTGAGCGAGATCGAGGGGCGGCACAAGGACATCGTGCGCCTGGAGAGCAGCATCAAGGAGCTGCACGACATGTTCGTGGACATCGCCATGCTGGTGGAGAACCAGGTGGGGCTGGGAGCAAGGCGGAGATGGGACCGGGGTCAGGGCGGAGATGGGTGTGGGATCAAGGGGGAGATGGGTGTGGGGTCAGTGGGGAGATGGGTGTGGGGGGTATGGGAGCAAGGCGGAGATGGGACCGGGGTCAGGGCGGAGATGGGTGTGGGATCAGTGGGGAGATGGGCATGGGGTGTATGGGATCAATGGGGAGATGGGCATGGGGTCAGGGGGGAGATGGGTGTGGGGTGTATGGAATCAATGGGGAGATGGGTGTGGGATCAATGGGGAGATGGGTGTGGGGTCAGGGGGGAGATGGGTGTGGGATCAGTGGGGAGATGGGCATGGGGGGTATGGGATCAAGGGGAGATGGGTGTGGGATCAATGGGAAGATGGGTGTGGGGTCAAGGGGGAGATGGGTGTGGGATCAATGGGGAGATGGGTGTGGGGTCAATGGGGAGATGGGTGTGGGGTCAATGGGGAGATGGGTGTGGGATCAGTGGGGAGATGGGTGTGGGGGGTATGGGATCAATGGGGAGATGGGTGTGGGATCAAGGGGGAGATGGGCGTGGGGTGTATGGGATCAAGAGGGAGATGGGTGTGGGGGGTATGGGATCAAGGGGGAGATGGGCACGGGGTGTACAGGATCAATGGGGAGATGGGTGTGGGATCAATGGGAAGATGGGCATGGGATCAATGGGATCAATGGGGAGATGGGTGTGGGATCAATGGGGAGATGGGCATGGGATCAACAGGGAGATGGGCATGGGGAGTATGGGATCAATGGGGAGATGGGTGTGGGATCAACAGGGAGATGGGCATGGGGTGTATGGGATCAATGGGGAGATGGGTGTGGGGGGTATGGGATCAATGGGGAGATGGGCATGGGGGGTATGGGATCAAGGGGGAGATGGGTGTGGGATCAATGGGGAGATGGGCATGGGATCAATGGGGAGATGGGTGTGGGGGGGATGGGATGGGATGAGGGATCGGGGATCCATGGGATGAGCAGGGATTGGTCCATGGGATGAGCAGGGATTGGTCCATGGGATGAGCGGGGATTGGTCCATGGGATGCTCAGGGATTGGTCCATGGGATGAGCAGGGATTGGTCCATGGGATGCTCAGGGATCGGTCCATGGATGCTCAGGGATTGGTCCATGGGATGAGCAGGGATTGGTCCATGGATGCTCAGGGATTGGTCCATGGATGCTCAGGGATTGGTCCATGGGATGAGCAGGGATTGGTCCATGGGATGAGCAGGGATTGGTCCATGGGATGCTCAGGGATTGGTCCATGGGATGAGCAGGGATTGGTCCATGGGATGAGCGGGGATTGGTCCATGGGATGAGCGGGGATTGGTCCATGGGATGAGCGGGGATTGGTCCATGGGATGAGCAGGGATTGGTCCATGGGATGAGCAGGGATTGGTCCATGGGATGAGCAGGGATCGGTCCATGGGATGAGCAGGGATTGGTCCATGGATGAGCAGGGATTGGTCCATGGGATGAGCAGGGATTGGTCCATGGGATGAGCAGGGATTGGCCCATGGGATGCTCAGGGATTGGTCCATGGGATGAGCAGGGATCGGTCCATGGGATGCTCAGGGATTGGTCCATGGGATGAGCAGGGATTGGTCCATGGGATGAGCAGGGATTGGTCCATGGGATGAGCGGGGATTGGTCCATGGGATGAGCAGGGATCGGTCCATGGGATGAGCAGGGATTGGTCCATGGGATGCTCAGGGATTGGTCCATGGGATGAGCGGGGATTGGTCCATGGGATGAGCAGGGATTGGTCCATGGGATGCTCAGGGATTGGTCCATGGGATGAGCGGGGATTGGTCCATGGATGCTCAGGGATTGGTCCATGGATGAGCAGGGATTGGTCCATGGGATGAGCAGGGATTGGTCCATGGGATGAGCAGGGACCTCCCCCTGGCAATGGGGCTCACCCCCCAGGCCCGCAGTGGAGGCGCCCGGGGCTCAGCACTGCCCCATGGCAGGTTCCATCCCCAGTGCCCGGCGGGGGGGTTGGGGGGCGGTGCCGGTGCTCACCCCACACCTCTCCCCCCCCAGGGCTCCATGATCGACCGCATCGAGAGCAACATGGACCAGTCCGTGGGCTTCGTGGAGCGCGCCGTGGCCGACACCAAGAAGGCCGTGAAGTACCAGAGCGAGGCCCGGAGGGTGAGCACGGCCCCACAGCGAGCGGGCGCCACCCCAGAGAGAGCACTGAACACCCCATAGAGAGCATCCGTCACCCCATAGCAAGCTGCTGCCACCCCATAGAGAGCATCCGTCACCCCATAGAGAGCATTGAACACCCCATAGCGAGCACTGAACACCCCATAGAGAGCATCCATCACCCCATAGAGAGCATCCGTCACCCCAGAGAGAGCATTGAACACCCCATAGCGAGCATCCATCACCCCATAGACAGCATCCGTCACCCCATAGAGAGCATTGAACGCCCCATAGCAAGCGGCCGTCACCCCATAGAGAGCGGCCGTCACCCCATAGAGAGCATTGAACACCCCATAGAGAGCATCCATCACCCATAGAGAGCATTGAACACCCCATAGCGAGCGGCCGTCACCCCATAGAGAACGTCCGTCACCCCAGAGAGAGCGTCCGTCACCCCAGAGAGAGGATTGAACACCCTATAGCGAGCTGCTGCCACCCCATAGAGAGCATCCGTCACCCCACAGCGAGCGGCCGTCACCCCATAGAGAGCATCCGTCACCCCATAGACAGCATTTAACACCCCATAGCGAGCACTGAACACCCCATAGCGAGCGGCCGTCACCCCATAGCGAGCAGCCACTACCCCATAGCGAGCATTGAACACCCCATAGAGAGCGTCCATCACCCATAGAGAGCATTGAACACCCCATAGCGAGCGGCCATCACCCCATAGAGAGCATTGAACACCCCATAGAGAGCATCCGTCACCCCATAGAGAGCGGCCATCACCCCATAGAGAGCATTGAACACCCCATAGCGAGCGGCTGCCACCCCATAGACAGCATTTAACACCCCATAGCGAGCATTGAACACCCCATAGAGAGCGTCCATCACCCATAGAGAGCATCTGTCACCCCATAGAGAGCATTGAACACCCCATAGAGAGCATCCGTCACCCCACAGAGAGCGGCCGTCACCCCATAGAGAGCATTGAACACCCCATAGAGAGCATCCGTCACCCCATAGAGAGCGGCCGTCACCCCATAGAGAGCATTGAACACCCCATAGAGAGCATCCGTCACCCCATAGCGAGCATTGAACACCCCATAGGGAGCGTCCATCACCCATAGAGAGCGGCCGTCACCCCATAGCGAGCGGCCATCACCCCATAGAGAGCATTGAACACCCCATAGAGAGCATCCGTCACCCCATAGAGAGCGGCCGTCACCCCATAGAGAGCATTGAACACCCCAGAGAGAGCATCCATCACCCATAGAGAGCATTGAACACCCCATAGCAAGCTGCTGCCACCCCATAGAGAGCATCCGTCACCCCATAGAGAGCATTGAACACCCCATAGCGAGCTGCTGCCACCCCATAGAGAGCATCCGTCACCCCATAGCGAGCGGCCGCCACCCCATAGAGAGCATCCGTCACCCCATAGAGAGCGTTGAACACCCCATAGAGAGCATCCATCACCCCATAGTGTACATCACCCTGTAGCGAGCGTCCGTCACCCCATAGAGAGCATTGAACACCCCATAGACAGCGTCCGTCACCCCATAGAGACCAGTGTCCCCCCATAGACCCTGTGTCCCCAGTGTCCACCAACGGCCTTACCATAGCCCCCAATGCACCCCAGTGCCCCCCTATGACCCCAGCCCCACCTCCCCCTGTATCCCAGTGCCCCCGAGCCCCCCCATGTCCCCAAACCACCCCAACACCTCTCCCCCCCCCCCCCAGTGACCCCCAACTGGTCCCAGCCCCCCCTTTATGGCTCCATGGGGTTGGCAGCTCTGCCCCTACGCCCCACATGTGTGGGGCAGGGCTGATCAGCCCCCATGGGGTGAGGGGGGTGGCTCGCTGTGGGGCTGGACAGGAGATGGGCCCCATGGGGCTGGGGTGTGGGAGGGGGCAGGAGAGCCCCATGGAGGGGGGGGGGGTGGAGACAATGGGATGGTGCCAGCACGGTGTCAGCATGGGGCCCAGGGTCTATGGGGCTCAGGGTCTGTGGGGCTCAGGGCTCTATGGGGCTCAGGGCTCTATGGGGCACTATGGGGCTCAGTTCTATGGGGCTCAGGGCACTGTGTGACTCAGTTCTTTGGGATTTAGGTCTCTATGGGGCTCAGGGTCTATGGGGTTCTATGGAGCTCAGGGTCTGTGGGGCTCAGGTCTATGGGGCTCAGGGTCTGTGGGGCTCTATGGGGCTCAGGTCTATGGGGCTCAGGGTCTATGGGGTTCTATGGAGCTCAGGGTCTGTGGGGCTCAGGTCTATGGGGCTCAGGGCTCTATGGGGCACTATGGAGCTCTGGGTCTATGGGGCTCAGGGTTCTATGGGGCTCAGGGCTCTAAGGGGCACTATGCGGCGCAGTTCTATGGGGCTCAGGGCTCTATGGGGCTCAGTTCTATGGGGCTCAGGGCTCTATGGGGCTCAGGGCTCTATGGGGCTCAATTCTATGGGGCTCAGTGCTCTATGGGGCTCAGAGCTCTATGGGGCTCAGTTCTATGGGGCTCAGTTCTATGGGGCTCAGGGCTCTATGGGGCACTATGCGGCGCAGTTCTATGGGGCTCAGGGCTCTATGGGGCTCAGTTCTATGGGGCTCAGTTCTATGGGGCTCAGAGCTCTATGGGGCTCAGTTCTATGGGGCTCAGTTCTATGGGGCTCAGGGCTCTATGGGGCACTATGCGGCGCAGTTCTATGGGGCTCAGGACTCTATGGGGCTCAGGGCTCTATGGGGCTCAGTTCTATGGGGCTCAGAGCTCTATGGGGCTCAGAGCTCTATGGGGCTCAGTTCTATGGGGCTCAGGGCTCTATGGGGCTCAGTTCTATGGGGCTCAGGGCTCTATGGGGCTCAGTTCTATGGGGCTCAGAGCTCTATGGGGCTCAGTTCTATGGGTTTCAGGGCTCTATGGGGCTCAGTTCTATGGGGCTCAGGGCTCTATGGGGCTCAGGGCTCTATGGGGCTCAGGGCTCTATGGGGCTCAGGGCTCTATGGGGCTCAGTGCTCTATGGGGCTCAGGGCTCTATGGGGCTCAGGGCTCTATGGGGCTCAGGGCCTGGATTTGCTCCATGCTTGCCCCCCCCACATCCCTGCAGCCCCTCATCCCCTTCCCTCCCTGCCATGGGGACGCCTCCCCCTTCCCTCCTCATTCCCAACATCCCACCCCACACCCCCCCCCCATGGCGCGACCCCATCACTGCAATTCCCCTTCCAGCCCCTCTTTATCCCCACGGGAAGGGGGCTCGACCCCTTACCCCCCCCCCCTTCCGCTGCTCCATCCCCTTGGGACCCCCATCGCCATGGGGATGGAGCCGGCGGCGCGCATCCCATGGGATGAGCGATGGGAATCCAGGGCTTGGGGGGTGGGGGGGTGGTGGCTCTGCCTTTGCTGCCCCCCATCCCTATGGGGCTGGGAACACTGCCCCCTCCGCGCCTTGATATCCGTGCTGGACCCACAGCGACAGGAGGATGTGGTGGTACCCAACTCCCATTGCACAACGGGATGCTTGAGGGGGGGGGAGCAGCATCGGGATGAGGGTTTGGGACCCCTCATCCCTTCCAGAGCAGAATTCCCCATGGATTCAATGGGACGTTCCCCATCCCTGGGCCAGGTTGGCCATAGGGCCTTGGAGCGAGGCGTTGGGCTGGGATGAGCTTCGAGCTTCCCTTTATCCCAGCCCATTCCATGATGGATCGGGATCGGTCCTGGCCATTCCCAGCACCCCACGGTGCCCCTCTTTCCCCTGCCCCACAGAAGAAGATCCTCATCATGCTCTGCTGCATCATCCTCGCCGTTATCCTGGCCTCCAGCATCGGCAGCATCTTCGCCTGAGCCCATCCCGCTGCCCTCAGGTGATGGAGCCCACACCGGGATCACCAGGGAATGGGATTGGACCCCATGGAGGGGGGGGAACGGGACCTGGCCTCACTGGAGGGGGTGGGATTCACCCCAAAGCACCAGCACGGACTTGGGGGGCAGCCCCACATTAAGGAGGGATGGGGCCGGGGTTCCGCTGGTCCTCATCCTCCTCCCCGTTCCAGGTGGCCTTCCCCTGCTCCAGGATGATCCCATTGGAGCGCACCGGGACCTTGCTGTGTGTGTCCCCAACCCCGAGCATCCCGGAGGAACGGAGACCCCTGCATCCCGGCTCCCTCCCATCCCCATGGGAAGGCTCCGAGGTTCCCCCCCCCCTCTCTATTTCCTTTGCTCCCCATCCCACCCGTGCTCGGAGCAGCTTCCCCATATCCATGGGGATTCTCCCATCCCCTGGCGTGCGCGGCTCCAGCCTGCTCCCCAATAAAGCCATCACACCGGGCTCAAGAGCCATAAAGGGCCGCCCCATCCGAGGCCCCACGGCGCTCCCCATTGCCCACGGAGCAGCGCATCCCTCGGGAAGCTTTTAATCAGGGTCCTGGGGAGCGGGATGGGGACACCCCCATATCCCAATGGGAACCATCCCCTTGTCCTGTCCTTGCATTCCCTATGGCCATCACTGGGATCCTGGTGAGCGGGATGGGGACACACACACCCCAGAGCCAATGGGAGCCGTCCCCTTGTCCTGTCCTTGCATTCCCTATGGCCATCACTGGGATCCTGGTGAGCAGGATGTGACCCTCCCCTCCATATCCCAATGGGAACACATCCCCTTGTCCTATCCCTGCCTTCCCTATGGCCATCACTGGGATCCTGGTGAGCAGGATGTGACCCCCCCCTCAATACCCCAATGGGAACCCACCCCCTTGTCCTATCCCTGCATTCCCTATGCCCATCACTGGGATAATGGTGAATGGGAAAACACCCCCCTTTTCCATATCCCAATGGGAACCCATCCCCTTGTCCTGTCCCTCCATTCCCTATGCCCATCACTGGGATCCTGGTGAGCAGGATATGACCCACCCTCCATATCCCAATGGGAACCCATCCCCTTGTCCTCCCCCTGCCTTCCCTATGCCCATCACTGGGATAATGGTGAATGGGAAAACACCCCCCTTTTCCATATCCCAATGGGAACCCATCCCCTTGTCCTGTCCCTGCATTCCCTATGGCCATCACTGGGATCCTGGTGAATGGGAAAACACCCCTTTTCCATATCCCAATGGGAACCCATCCCCTTGTCCTCCCCTTGCCTTCCCTATGCCCATCACTGTGATCCTGGTGAGCAGGATATGACCCCCCCTCCATATCCCAATGGGAACCCATCCCCTTGTCCTATCCCTCCATTCCCTATGGCCATCACTGGGATAACGGTGAATGGGAAAACACCCCTCTTTTCCATACCCATCCCCTTGTCCTGTCCCTGCCTTCCCTATGCCCATCACTGGGATCCTGCTGAGCAGGATATGACCCCCCCCCCTCAATACCCCAATGGGAACCCATCCCCTTATCCTATCCCTGCCTTCCCTATGGCCATCACCAGGATAACAGTGAGCAGGATGGGGACACCCCCCATATCCCAATGGGAACCCATCCCCTTATCCTATCCCTGCCTTCCCTATGCCCATCACCAGGATAACAGTGAGCAGGATGGGGACACCCCCCCATATCCCAATGGGAACCCATCCCCTTGTCCTGTCCCTGCCTTCCCTATGGCCATCACTGTGATCCTGGTGAGCAGGATGGGGACACCCCCCATATCCCAACGGGAACCCATCCCCTTGTCCTATCCCTCCATTCCCTATGGCCATCACTGGGATAACGGTGAATGGGAAAACACCCCCCTTTTCCATACCCCACCAGGAACCCATCCCCTTATCCTATCCCTGCCTTCCCTATGCCCATCACCAGGATAACAGTGAGCAGGATGGGGACACCCCCATATCCCAATGGGAACCCATCCCCTTGTCCTCCCCTTGCCTTCCCTATGGCCATCACCAGGATAACAGTGAGCAGGATGGGGACACCCCCATATCCCAATGGGAACCCATCCCCTTGTCCTCCCTCATCCCTCACACGCGATGCTTGAGGAAGAACTTGCCCCAGTAGCGGCCTCGCAGGCGCAGGTCGCGGGGGCTCAGGTACCTCCTGGCTCCCATCATGTTGGCGCTCGCCACGCGCTCGAAGCTCCAAGGGTTCTGATTCCGGGCCTCCCTCTCCTCCTCGTCCCGGCGCAGGCGGTGCAGGCCGGCCCTGCTGATGGGCACGGCGGGGAAGGGCAGCTTGCGGGCCGCCTGCCGCAGGAAGGCTTCCACGTGTTGGAACTCGCAGCGCCCGCCCAGCTCCAGGAGCAAGCGCCCGCTCTTGACGGGCGTCACGTAGCGCTCGATGGGGCCTTTACCCCCTCCCATGCGGTGTCCCAAGCTCTTCCTGCTGAGAGCTTTGGAAGGGGGAGGAAGGCGCCAGATGGCGAACATGGATTTGGGGTCCATGGAACGTCCGATGGTCAAGCGCAGCATCTCCAGGTGGCCCCAGTGCAGGTAACCTCCGCCCAGAGCCTGGGGGGAAAAGGAGGAGGTGATGGGGAAGCAGCACCACATACACACACATACACACACATACACACACATACATACACACATACATACATACACACACATACATACATACACACACACACACATACATACACACATACATACACATACACACACACACAACACAGTGGGAGGGGGGCCCTGGCCGGGAGCGTGCTGCAGGGATGCTGGTGATGGATATAGGGAAGGCAGGGGGAGGACAAGGGGATGGGTTCTCGTTGGGATATGGGGTGTGGGGGTCACCATCCTGCTCACCAGGATCACAGTGATGGGCATAGGGAAGGCAGGGGGAGGACAAGGGGGTGGGTTCCCGTTGGGGTATGGAGGGGGGGGTCACATCCCGTTCATCATTATCCCAGTGATGTCCATAGGGAATGGAGGGACAGGACAAGGGGGTGGGTTCCCATTGGGATATGGAGGGTGGGTCACATCCCATTCACCAGGATCCCAGTGATGGCCATAGGGAAGGCAGGGACAGGACAAGGGGATGGTTCCCATTGGGCTATGGGGTGTGTGTCCCCATCCCGCTCCCCAGGATCCCAGTGATGTCCATAGGGAATGCAGGGGCAGGACAAGGGGACGGCTCCCATTGGCTCTGGGGTGTGTGTGTCCCCATCCCGCTCTCCAGGATCCCAGTGATGTCCATAGGGAATGCAGGGACAGGACAAGGGGATGGTTCCCATTGGGCTTTGGGTTGGGGGGGGTCACGTCCCATTCATCATAATCCCAGTGATGGGCATAGGGAAGGCAGGGGTAGGACAAGGGGATGGGTTCCCATTGGGATACGGAAGGGGGGGGTCACATCCTGCTCCCCAGGATCCCAGTGATGTCCATAGGGAATTCAGGGACAGGACAAGGGGACGTTTCCCATTGGCTCTGGGGTGTGTGTCCCCATCCCGCTCTCCAGGATCCCAGTGATGTCCATAGGGAATGCAGGGACAGGACAAGGGGACGGCTCCCATTGGCTATGGGGTGTGTGTGTCCCCATCCCATTCACCAGGATCCCAGTGATGTCCATAGGGAATGCAGGGACAGGACAAGGGGACGTTTCCCATTGGCTCTGGGGTGTGTGTGTCCCCATCCCATTCACCAGGATCCCAGTGATGTCCATAGGGAATGCAGGGGCAGGACAAGGGGACGTTTCCCATTGGCTATGGGGTGTGTGTGTCCCCATCCCATTCACCAGGATCCCAGTGATGTCCATAGGGAATGCAGGGGCAGGACAAGGGGACGGCTCCCATTGGCTCTGGGGTGTGTGTGTCCCCATCCCGCTCACCAGGATCCCGAACTGCCCCTCGATGAAGTCAGTGGCCACGCGGGAAGGGCCGCGGATGTCCCGGAGCCGCCGCGGCTCCCTCCGGACCTTGGGCACCGCCGGCGCCTTCTCCATGAACTTCAGCTTCGGCTTCTCGGGGATCACGATACCTGGGGGGGGGGGGGGGGTGAGGGCAACCAGCACCCCACTGACCCCATGGGAGCCCCGGGGGGGCCCCAACCCATAGAGCCCCATTATACCCCCATAGCGGGGTTTGTCC